TTTGAGCATAAATTAAACTTACACACGTTTGGACCCTTGAAGATTTTAGGGCGTTTTCTTGTTTGATGTCAATGGCATTGAATCAGTTTTTGATATTGATGGCTGAGGCTCAAATATTTCATCAATGGACAGGGTATTTTGGAGGGCCAACATTTTCTTTACAATGATCATTTAAAAACTGAAAAAAAAAAAGAAATTTAAATAACAGACCAATTATTTTAACACTGAATCAGTCGATGTGCTGCCATCTATCAAATTGAAGTGGTACTAAAATTCAATATGGCCGCTTAGCGCGGGCTTTTTGAAATTTAACTTTCTGCTAGTCGCGCAAAAATATAATGAAGAAAATCAAACAAAAAAAAATAAATTGTCAAAATATTTGACTAGTTTCAAATCATAAAACAACCATATTGACTGTTTTGTGATTTGAAACTAGTCAAATATTTTGCCAATTTATTTTTTTTTGTTTGATTTTCTTCATTATATTTTTGCATTAATTTCAAACTTGAAATAAAATGCAATTTATTTTATTTATTTTTTTATTACAGTAAATTAACGCCGCATCATATAATTTGTCTATTTAAACATGGAAATAGGTTTTCTGTAACAAACTCGACATATTTAAGTGCTCAAGACCAATATAACAGTTTTGCAACTTGGAGTGGCAATAAGTTTGAAAAAGCATCATCCTTTTGATGTCTTACAATCAAGGCGAATTTGAGGGTGGATAAAATTTGCCATATGCTTATTGAGTCGACTAGTTAAGTTGAGGAACATTTCTTCATCCGATATTGTTTTATTGATTTATTTGTACAGCACCTGTAGTTATCAAATTCTTATTTATCATCTGAGCACTGTGATAAATAAATTTAACTTTCGAGCTTAAATTAAACTTACACACGTTTGGACCTTTGAAGATTTTGGGGTGTTTTCTTGTTTGATGTCAATGGCATTGAATCAAATTTTGATATTGATGGCTAAGGCTCAAATATTTCATCGATCTACAGGGTATTTTGAAGGGTCAACATTTTCTTTATAACAATGATCATTTAAAAACTGAAAACAAAAAGAAATTTAAATAACAAACCAATTATTTTAACACTGAATCAAAAACAAGTTTGTAAATATTACTTACCATTGATATGCCAGTACAAGATGCATTTTTCTTAAGACACTTATTACAAATTGTATGTTTATCCTTAATATGACGACCGCATATTTAATACGTGGTATAAATTGCATCACTACCAATATCTGGGAGTGCTTCATTGTTCGTTGCTGAAATCCATGTTCCCATCTCTTGAAAACATGCTTAAAATTGGAAGGTGTTGAAAAATAAATCTAGATGAATCAAAATTCAATACACCTTCAAATGCGACAGCCATTTTAATTTTTCCAAGTATGAAGTTTTGTTGACAAGCTGACAACTGACATGACATTTCGATACGAGCGCCATCCCGTTAATTGGAGTGGTACTAAATTACCGTCCTCATGTTTTTCCATTTGAGTTACCAGCCCCTGGCTAGAGCACGTACCATTTTGTTTATGTAGGTAGCTACTGAAACGTCTCGTTAAACAATAATTAAACTAAAAATTCAAGATATTACCGCCTGTAAAAACGCCAAGTAAAAAATTGTAGCTTTTCTGACAATTAACCATAGACGGACTTTTGAATCTTTATTAATTAAAAGCAAAACTTAAATTTTGGTGTTTATTTATTTTAACCATCAAAAACATCGTAAATCCAAAAAAACTATTCTAGTAGCATTATAAAAATTAGACACAATTTTAGTAAAAACTATCAAGGTGAGGGGAAATATGCAAAGGTCTGCCTCAAGGCTCTGCTCTAAGTCCATTACTGTGTAATATATACACCAATGACTTGTTCAATATGATAGTAGAGGGAGTTTATCTTATAGCTTTTGCGGATGATTTAGTTTTAATTGTAGGATGTTATAATATACAGGTAGCAATCGGGAAAATAAATGAGTCACTTCATTAATATTGGGGTATGGTTGGAGAGCCATTTTTTGCAAGTTTCAGTACAAAAGTCAAAGGCTAGTCTATTTCAAAAAACGAAATACCCTATTTTTATCACACATATAAAATTTAAGAAAGAAATTATTCAGCTTGTCCCTTCATTTAAAAATCTTGGAGTAATATTTGACAAAAAAATGAAATTCCCTAATCATATAAATAATATAGCAGCAAAAGCGCAAAAAGGTATAGATGATGAGATCTATCTCCACAGCAGATTTTGGAGCTATCCTATTTAATGTTTCACAACAAATTCTATACAAACTCGATAAAATACAATATAAAGCACTGAGAGAGGTAATGGGTGCCATGACCTCGACTCCAACCAACTCACTTATAGCAGAGACTAGTGAATTACCACTTAAATGGAAACGTGTGTGCTGGCAGAAAAATATATTATTTAACAATTATTTATCAATAAAAATTTAATTTCTTTCCTACTCCTTAACTCATATCAAGATCAAAAGCTTGTTGCAAATTGTACAAACTTCCCACTGGTGGAAGGCCTTAACAGAGCCCTCTCATTTTTTGCTCATTTTAAAAAACTCGGCTTCTTCCATGTTTCTCTCATTTTTATGAATCCCAAATACTTGACGTTCTCTGTATCTGTAAGGTGTGGAAGGTGGGTTACCCCACGGCACTTAGGCCTCACTAGGCCCATTTAGCATCCTTCTAAGATGATAGACACCTCCTAGCTCGTGGGCCAGCCTACAGATTTAAGGTAGTTGACAACGTCGCCAAGAGGTGCTTCTCTTATATCGGCCGGTGTTAGCCGATACTCTTCGAACACAAATCTTCTAATAAATGAGAGCGTCGAGGAATCGTAGAGGATATGCTTGATGATCTTGTTCGCACCCCCTGCAAAGTGCGGATTCTGACAACCTCATGATATGGAGATGTTTACGTACTTGGCAATGACCAGTCAGAATTCCCGTGACCAAGCGCAGATTCTGTCTAGTCATAGGCAAGTATTTGTTTGCTGCAGTGTTGTCAGGATAACTTAAAAACTCCCTGACAACTCTGCAGTTTCTTGTTTCGTCACTACCGATTTTGTTAGGCCAATAGAAGGACCAGGTCCAAAAATTATTTGGTTGGCTGCATTCTTGGCCAGTGAATCAGCAAGACGGTTACCTTTCGTTGTGGAATGATCTTTGATCCATCCAAAGGTGGTACCCCATCGAGCTGTGAGAAGTTTTAATTTTTAAGTCTTGCTGTAAGTAAGTCACTTTACTCATTTGTGGTAAACGCAAACGGTACTTAGTAAAAACATCGACAAGTTCTGAATAGTTTATTTTTATATTTACATGAATTTTTCAATGGAGCAGACATTTTATTTAGTATTAAAAAGATTAGAAATAATACTTGAACCGTTCAATTCTTCATTATTATATTGTAGAGAAATATACTGGTGATTTTTATTTTGTTTATTATTAACTTCAGAAATTACTTTCCAAATTCACATGCTTGGATTTTTATAGTTGCGCAACTCCTTTCATTTTATAAATCCTCATTATTTAAAGTGCGCTACCATTTATGTTATGTTGAGAATGGGGTGTTAATACACTGCGACCTAAAAGATCGAATGTGCCCCCTTCTGTCGCCAATGCACCAAGGAAATGTCTCAATGCCTATAACGACCCTTCCAATCCTATTTTCTCAAGGAAGTGTAGGAAATAGCTTCAAGTTAGATAAATATCCCTCTTTTATTTGATATCCTCCTAGATATAGTGCCCTTGGATTCTGGAGAGCTACACATTCAGTTCGGATGTGAATGGAGGTTTCGTCCTCCTCCTCACAAAATCTGCACTCACTATCCTCTACTACTCTCAGTTTACTTAGGTGTCCTTTTAGCCTGTTCTTGCTCAGGCAGATGCAGGCTTCCGATCTTTTCTGGTTATATTCACCCAGAAGTATCTTGGCCTGTCTCAGCCCCAAGAGATTTTTCCAATTATCGATTCTTTTTTAATCTCTCCTAATATTATGTTACTGCTGATACCGCAGAACGGCTCAGGTCCTACAAAGGGTGTTTGAGCCCCTTTCCTCGCAAGACTATCTGCAATCTCGTTACCATGTACCCCGTTATGTCCCAGGACCCAAGTGAGAGTAACTCTATTTTTCTCGCCTAGCTCATTCAATTGTTCTAAGCATCTCCAGACCATTTTTGAGCTGATTACGTAAGAGCTCAGCGCTTTGATGGCTGCTTGACTATCGGACATGATGATAATCTCTTGTCTATGATAGTTTCTCTCGATGTTGAACTAGATACACTTCTTGATGGCGTGAATTTCCCCCTGGAAGATACTTGGGTATTTTCCCAAGCTTTCGGAGTGCTTGGTTCTCGGCCCATATAATCCTATTCCAGTTCCTTCTATGGTTTTGGAACCGTCCGTATAACACTGAATAGCACGTCTTACGGTTGCAAGCGCGATGGATTCTTGGCTCCATTCTTTCTTGCAGCCCAGCTCTGTGGTTTTGAAGTTTTTCACAAAACTGTACTTCTTTTAGCATTTCATCCTGGGGCATGTCCCAGGTATCTTTAGCCCTGAAGCATGTAGACTTTTGTCTGATTACTCCGTTCCTGATCATTCTAATCGTGTCCTTTTTGCCACATTCTCTATCATCAAATGTAGAGGGGTGAGGTTTAAGATCACCTCCATTGCGGCCGTAGGACAGGTTGTCATTGCACCAGTAACGCAAACACAGGCTAGTCTTTGTACTTTTGAGATATTAGCTCTCGTAGTAGCTAAACTAGTTCTGTTACTCCAGGCTATAGCCCCGTAAGTGATGATTGGTCTCACTATTGCAGTATACATTCATCGCAGTATGTTTGGGTTACATCCCCATCGTGCGCTACCTTTTACACTATGTACATACATATTATATACCTACAGTATAAATCAGTAGGTACTGTTATTAATAAAAACTAAAAAAAATTTTGTAGCTTTTGTAATGAAAAATTATAATTAAGTTACATTAGGTTTATATTGTTTCATTTTATTTTGATTATATGCATTAATATCATCTCTTATAATAAGATTAAAATCAATAATGGATAAAGTAGGTTCAGGATCAACATAAATAGTAGGAGAAACGGGAGTATTGCGGTACTTTGGTCCAAATTGACTGTCTCCACGAGAATTCAACTGTTCTGCAAGCCTTTCAAATGTTGTCCTCTGCGGGCTCTGGTTTCTGTGACTAAAAGTTAAATCATCAAACGATGTATCATAATCGCAAATATTTAGGTTTTTAAAATGCAAGGCCGCCAATGTTCGGCTGGTTAAAGGCCGTTGTCTTCTTTTGTTTCTCCTTCTAATATCTATCATCCTAGGTTTTCGCCCTTTCTGAATTATTTCGGAACCCATTAGAATTGGAATTGCACCTGTATTTTGGTAGTATTCTAGAAAAGTCTTTACCAAATTTCGACCACATTTCATATCTTTGTATCATGTAAGGAAAATATTGACAGTCTCCCAGAATGTTCCAGACTTATTAGGTAAACCGTACATAGAGAGAGACAAGTATAGGATGCTTGGGATATATCTTAAAAATAAACAAGTAGAGATAAGACCATGTCCTTTGCCAATAGAACAAATGCATTCTTTTCAACCACTCAAGACAGCTGGACCTGACTGTAATACTGGCAATTCCTCAGTAGGAAATGAAGTGGACCAAGTGGAGGTCATAAATAAATAAATAATGATGTGTTTCAGGGTTTATGGATTTTCACATTTTAAGGGGGGCAACGGGATAATGAAAGTTTGTATGGGAGTATCGGTTTTTTAAAGGTAGGAACTTGAAAATTGCAATTGTAGTTATAAATAAATAATGACATATTTCAGGTTTTTTGGATTTTTCACATTTTAATGGGTTGGGAAACGAAGGGTGAAAGTTTGCATGGGAGTATCGATTTTTTTAAAAGTAGGAACTTGAAAATTGGAGTTGTAGCTACTCATCATAAGTAAATAATGACGTATTCGAGGGTTTTTGGATTTGTATGTTTTAGGGGGGGACGGAAAGTGAAAGTTTGCATAAGAGTATCGTAAAAAAATAAAAATAAATAAAAATAAATAAAAATAAATAAAAATAAATAAAAATAAATAAAAATAAATAAAAATAAATAAAAATAAATAAAAATAAATAAAAATAAATAAAAATAAATATAAAAAAATAAAAATAAATAAAAATAAATAAAAATAAATAAAAATAAATAAAAATAAATAAAAATAAATAAAAATAAATAAAAATAAATAAAAATAAATAAAAATAAATAAAAATAAATAAAAATAAATAAAAATAAATAAAAATAAATAAAAATAAATAAAAATAAATAAAAATAAATAAAAATAAATAAAAATAAATAAAAATAAATAAAAATAAATAAAAATAAATAAAAATAAATAAAAATAAATAAAAATAAATAAAAATAAATAAAAATAAATAAAAATAAATAAAAATAAATAAAAATAAATAAAAATAAATAAAAATAAATAAAAATAAATAAAAATAAATAAAAATAAATAAAAATAAATAAAAATAAATAAAAATAAATAAAAATAAATAAAAATAAATAAAAATAAATAAAAATAAATAAAAATAAATGAAAATAAATAAAAATAAATAAAAATAAATAAAAATAAATAAAATAAATAAAAATAAATAAAAATAAATAAAAATAAATAAAAATAAATAAAAATAAATAAAAATAAATAAAAATAAATAAAAATAAATAAAAATAAATAAAAATAAATAAAAATAAATAAAAATAAATAAAAATAAATAAAAATAAATAAAAATAAATAAAAATAAATAAAAATAAATAAAAATAAATAAAAATAAATAAAAATAAATAAAAATAAATAAAAATAAATAAAAATAAATAAAAATAAATAAAAATAAATAAAAATAAATAAAAATAAATAAAAATAAATAAAAATGTGAAGTGAAACTTCTTACGCCCTGGCATGAAAAATATTAGCGAATTGATAAAAACGAGATATCTCGACAGCCTAAGGGAGGAATACTTTTTTCACTGACTGTTTTATGTTGCTTGTTAGAAAGTTAGTTACGCAAGCAATCTGGTGATATTAGCAGATGAGAGCCGTACCAGAAATGTGGAATACAAACTCTATAATACTATCACATACATACCATGAACCGTAAAAACATATTACCGCTCCTTTTTTGGGCAGTTATGCACTTTTTGTATTAAAAACAAGACTCTATGCGTGCCAAGTCGCAGGTAACAGCTAGTTTTCCTATACATATAGTTTTATTGGATTTTACGAAACAGTTTAAGAATATTCTTGGAGTTAAATAAATATTTGTTTAAAAGGATACAGTTATCTTCTGTATAAGGAATTACAATCTCTGAGCCTTTCGGAGTCCAACCATAAATAGAAACTTCGAATGTATAACAGTTTGCTTTATCATTTAGAATGGAACACAGATATCTTCTAGCCGTTCCGAGTTTGTTAATATCGGAATTGAACATAGTGTTTTCAGGTACATAATCATCGAATGTATTGGCCAGAAGTTTTGGAAATAAAATGTGCCTCTCATACCTGGAATCATTTGGAAATTAATTTCAGATACGATAAGATATAGGTACTCTCAAATATTACCTATAAACATCTTCATAACTATTTCCGTATATAAAGCTTCCTTTAAGACTTGAATGGGCATGAATATCTACTACAAAATCTAACTGAAATTCCTATAACAAGATAAAAAGATTTTTTTTTAATTTTATATAAATATGCTAACTGATCATTGCCAACTCCGCAATCATTTCCATACAATGATGTTACATGTCTTTTCTGATTTATTAATGTACAAATAGTCGGGATCTTAAGCTTTGATAGTGTTTTAATTGTACATCAAAAAATACGTACTTTATTTTTATCTATTCTCACTAACATGTCAATCACAGCTCTTATTGTAGGATGGCACCACTCATTAGCAACATTCCAAGATCGATTTAAATCAGCACCTAGCACTGTACTTCTGTAGTTCCCCAAAAACACTCCGTCCGGATTCATCATTGGAATAACTTTGAATATCACATGTTCCCTGAGAGTCGTTGCTATGGAATTCGAGCTTATGAGTAATTCTAATAAACCTGTAAATGAATACCAAAGATCGGTTTATAGAACATATCGACAGGTAATATTAATATCACTAACCTTGACAAACAAAACTCGAAGGAGATTCCCCTGGATGCACCCTAGCCATAATAGCGATGACTCTTCTTTTAGCTTTTGAATCATTTCTATCTAGCGATCCTATTGTTATTAAATCCAAACGTCTTTTTTGCTGAAAATCGAAATTATGTTAACTAATACTGATAAACCAATCCAAACAAATAAATCTTAAAGTTCTAAAAGTACAAGATCTTGCCTGATATGTATTCATACCACACTATTTTCCAGAAGTTCCCTATTAAAATTTCCTGCCAGATATGCCGCTTTCTTGTCCAAAATGCTAAGGAACGTTTGTAATTTAGTATAGCTGTATGGAGGTGCTAAACAAAAATGGAAGACATCTTCCTCTTTGTCGAAACCAAAAGAGAAGCTAAGTACATAGTGGCCATGATGCAGAGCTGACTTATGATAAAATACGTACTGCTTAGGAATTCTTTGCCTACAAAATATTATATTATAATCAAAATACACGTAAGTACGTGATTAAGCCCTTTATATTGTAATTTATGCAAAATTATTTCAGATAACTTTTGTCATTCATGACAAATGGCAAATTAATTAGTTTGGAAATTCTATACTGGCATATTTAAAAATGTTTCACTATTTTTCGGCACTTGAATATATATGTTTACTTACCATTGGGGTCTACTCGAGGATTTGACTAAAGGCGTCATATTGTCCATAAATAAATTTCTCTCTTTGCTTATATTAACAATATTAAATATAACTCTCTAAAAAGTGAATTTTTAATTAAGTCATATAATTATCCAACAAACATTTTGTTCTGGCAAGTTAACGGCCTTTAAACGTATGTACGTTACTTCAAGTAGTGGCGTTCGTTGGTGATCTGGTATTGGTAACTCGATTTTTTGTCACAACGGGCGCAGAAGGCGGTCGACACTTTATCAGCAATAAGTACGGAAAGGGCTGCAAATGGCCAGCAATTTCCGATAATATTAATGTTAACTTCCCTTCAACGGGCTTGCATAAAGCACGTAAGTTTACCAGCCAAAAATAGTAATGGCCTTACATGGCCAGCAGTTTCTTATAATATTAATGTTAAATTCCCTTCAATAAACTTGCTTGTAACTTTACAGGAATAAGTAGTGAAAGGCTTGTACATGGCCAGTAGTTTCCAATAATATTGTTACGCTGGTTTTTGGTAACTCAAATTATTTCATTTCAAGTTTTACAATTCAACTATGCTACTGATAACATAAACGTGCAACGTCTATTATCAAACTAAACTGTGACGTCAGGACCATTGACGTATATAGCTCCTTTGAACCTTCTCGAACCGTCCAGATGTTTCTTGACTCTGACAGACATTTGTAGACATTTCTAGACTGTTCTCTCCTCTTCTTTCATTCGAACTTTTACTTATGACGACCGCAGTACACTGTCGGGTTATGGGCAATGAACTGGAGTGGGGTAGAATGCTTGTCAATAGGCTTGAGATGCGACTCTATGGGCGAAGATAGGTTATTTTTCATCTCACTCTGGAGTATTTATAACTACCATTTTCTATTTCACTTTGTTATTGTCTGATCCACCAGCTTGTGGATTGAACAATAACAATGTGAAACAGAAAATGGTTATCATAAATACTCCCGAGTGAGATGAGAAATAAAAATGGCTGCGCCCATAGAGTCGCATCTTGTTCTATTGATACAATATGCACATTGGCTTTCTACCCCACTCCAGTTCATTGGTTATGGGTGACATTGCACTTCTTCTTTTATTCGTACGTAGGGTAACAATATTAATAACTTCCCTTCAATGAACTTGCATATGGCTTGTTACTTTACCAACAATAAGTAGTAAAAGGCCTGCACTTTGCCTTCAGTTTTCCATAATATTAATGTTAACTTCCCTTCAAAGAACTTGCATAAGGCTCCTATAAACATGATGTCAGGCTTTTAAAGGTAATGTATCATGTGTGACACATAAAAAAAGTAATTTTTTGGGGAATGCAACATTATAAGTATTAATACCCTAATATTCAATTTTTGCCCTCTCTTGAAGGAAAAAAGTGTTACGTAATCAAATTGTGACATCTCGTATGAGAGCTAATTTTATTAGTAATTTAATGCTCCACATATTTCCATATTACATTTGTAACAAAATCAAGTTAGTGTGTAATGCTATAGTAGATTAGGTATCTACCTCAGATTAAAGAGACCGAATATGTAACATTGCACACTGCGCATGTTGTCTATTTTAACCCCAGGTAACCCACCAATTGAAAATCATTGTTTGCACGACGCCACCCGAATTGCTCCGATTTTACCATTCAACGCTCACCTCCGCCTGAGTTCAATCACCATTGACAGCTGTTTTTTGATTTATTTGTTGGTGTTTTAGCAATTTAAAGTGTTCTAGTTATTCACTTTTAAGTTCAAAATGCCACGATGTATCTTGAAAAATTGTATATACTTATAATACAAGTACCAATGTTTTGAAAGATAAAAAATATATTCGTTTTCAGCGGTAAATATTTATTAACGTCTTGACATAAAGCGCCATTATCCTTTGGGCTGAATACTTCAGATCCGCATTAAGGGGTTTCAATAAATATTAAGAATCAAATACATATTTCAGAAAATAGATTTGATATTACTTACATAAATTTACAAAAGGGTAAAATTTGGAACATTTAATTTAAATAAGAAGTAAATAGGCATTGTTGCTAACGAAATTTTGTTTTTAAGAAGTAGTTTTATAAGAATATTTATTGAAGGTGGTTTTTAGTCCTTTTTGGTAGATAAATAAGCAGTAAAGAAGCATAATTGCTAGCTAAATTTTATTTTTGTAAGTTATTTTTATGAGAATATTAGATAAATTACAGGATGACCTACTTAAAATTTAAAGGTTCATCTTATTTGTGATCAAATCGAAAGTGACATTTAAGTGTTAAAACAAAGTAAAACGCACATTATGATCTAGTATAAGCAAAAAAATACTAAAGATACGGGAGTTAGTCACATTGTTAATAAAATGTTACACTATAAACCCCTAAACAACTCCAACAAAATTTTCGTTTACTAAAAAAATCCAAATTCTAGCAATATTTATTATTTATTATAAAATCGAATGCGGTTTCAAAGATAACGGGATCAAAAAATCCGAATCTCTAAATTCTGGAGCTCGGATAAAAGCATACGACCGATAGGGTTACAAAAATAATCGATTTATGGATTATTCTAATATTTTTTTATGAAAATCGATTTATCCGTTATTTTTAATAAATTATTTTCGTTTTTTTAAGAATAATCGATTTTAAAGGAAATACAAAAAGAAAGTAGATTTATTCAAAATAATCGATTTATTGAAAATAATCGATTTATCTTTAATCGGTTTTTTTTAATTATTATTTTAGATTTTTCAAAGGTATAATATGAAAATAATCGATTGATCGAATAATAATAATAATAATAATACTCTCCCTAATTCACCCCCTTACGAGTGAATTTCAACCCCTGAAGTCGACTGAACGACTTGTGTAGGGGAAGGGACGGCTATTATTATTATTATTTGCCGTGGCGCTCCGGGGCGACTTAAAGATGATTGATGGTGCCATTTGACTTACAGGTGAGGAAAACCCGGAAAACCTCACCCACAATATAATCGGTTATTTTATATAACCGATATTTCGGTTATTTTTTAGAATTATCGATTTATCGGTTAATCAGCTTTTTAATAATAGATTTATTTTCGATTTATCGATTATTTACGATTTTTCAAAGATAATAGAATAATCAATTTTAAAGGTAATATGAAAAGGATTATTAGAAAATAATCGATAATTCGGTTATTTTTTGGAAAATAGATTTATCGTAAAATCGGCTTCTTAATTAATTGGTTATTTTCGATTAAGCGATTATTTTGGAATAATCGATTATTTTTGGTATTTTAATGATAATCGAATTATCGATTTTAAAGAAAATACAATAAAAATAAATTATTGTATTATAATCGATTGATCGAAAATAATCGATTATTTAAAATAATCCATAATTCGGTTTTTTTGAAAATCGATTTATCAGTTAATCAACTTTTTAATTAATCGATTATTTTTGATTAATCGATTATTTTTGATTAATCGATTATTTTTGATTAATCGATTATTTTCGATTTTTCAAAGCTTATAGAATAATCTGTTTCAAAGGGACGAAAATAAAATGGATTATTTGAAAATAAACGATAATTCTATTATTATTTTTTGTAAACACTGATTTATCGGTTAATTGGCTTTTTAATTAATCGGTTATTTTTTATTTTTCAAAGATAATCAAGTAGTCGATTTTAAAGGAAATACGACAAAAAATAGATTGTTTGAAAATAATCGATCGATCGAAAATAATCGATTATTTTCAATTATCGATAATTTATTTCGATAATCACCAAAATTAGTTCATGAGATATAGACATTGTAAGTTTTTAAATTTTCAATCCGTATAATAATTAATTCAATAATTAACTCAAGATAATTACAAACAATGTGGTCTGAAAAACAATTAAAATTGTGCGGATTTTATGCACGATAAAAATCTTTACTCTAAATATAATACAATAAGTTATGTTAGTCTTATTTTCTTATTTTTGTATGTGGTAACAGTTAAAAAGCCATCAAAGGCCCGTCGAATAATTAAAATTAATAAGCCATTAAATTAAAATTTTAAAAGGGTCATAACAATTTTACCGTTGCTTGTTGGGAAAAAGTTAAAAAGCCATCAACGGCCCATCAAATAATTTAAGTTAAAAGGCAGTTAATTACAAATTTCAAACGAGCCATAAAGATATTACATTTGCACATGGAAAATAGTTAAAAAGCCGTTAGCGGCCCATCGAATAATTAAATTTAAAAGGCAGTTTATTACAAATTTCAAACGAGCCATAACGATTTTACAGTTGCTTGTACGATACAGTTAAAAAACCATCAACGGTCCATCAGAAAATTAAAGTTTAAAGGCAATTAATTACAAATTTCTGAAGGGCCAGAACGATTTTAGAGTTGCATGTAGGAAACAGTTAAAAAGTCATCAACGGCCCATCAGTTAAAAAGCCAGCTACGGCCCATCAAAATATTAAAATTAAAGGGAAATTAATTTCATATTTCAAAAGGGCCATAACGATTTTGCCGTTATACGTTACTTTGCCATCACATTCGTTAAAGGGCCAACAACTTGCCACAACTTCAATGTTTGTTGGGTACCTAGTTAATACAAGAATAAATAAGACATTTCGTGACTGGTTACATAAATATCTATTATAATATTGATTTACCTGGTCCAATTTAACATTATCTACAGTAAAATTAAACCAAAATCTAAGCTTTGGGCTGCACGTGTCGGGTCTAATAAACAAATCATACTCATACTCGTTTATCAGATCAACTCTTCCCAAATTACCAGTTTCAAAGGAAGCATCGAAACATAGATGACCTTTTTTAGCTTTTCCACTGTGTCCTGGTGGCCGCATTATAATTCTGCTAACGTTTCCCATACCTCCTTCTCCATCACTGTCATCAGAATCTACAATATAATATGTCTCATAAAAACAACGAAGGTATTTGGTACCCTAAAACTAATTTGTAAATTTAAACATATCATTTTTCAAAAAGTAAGGTTGTAAGGAGGTCCTTTCGCCACCAATGTTAAATAAAAAATATTAGATTATGACTAAAATTAATTTTTTTCTAATAGTTGAAGTCCTTATTTATCTAATAGTGAACTTTTAACTATACCTTACCGTGCAAATTTTTGAGAATTTTTTTTTTTTAATGTGAGTATTTGTACAGTGTCTTACGAGAAAGTAAGACTTCAACAACAATTTTCGAATTATAATTAAATATACTATTATTTATTGATTAGACGGAGTAAAAAAAACTAAAAATAAGGTTTTTGAAATATTTAGGTTTTGTTTTTTACAATAAAATATATAGGTTACCGTGGAATTTATTGAGAAATTAATATTAAAAAATAAAAAATTTTCAACTAGGTTACTTGAATTTTTTTTTTTAATATTAATTTCTTAATAAATTCCACGGTAACCTATATATTTTATTGTATAAAACAAAACCTAAATATTTCAAAAACGTTATTTTTAGTATTTTTCTACTCCATCTAATCAATAAATAATAGTATAATTCGAGAATTGTTGTTGAGGTCTTACTTTCTCGTAAGACACTGTACAAAAACTCACATTTAAAAAAAAAAATTCTCAAAAATTTGCACGGTAAGGTATAGTTAAAAGTTCACTATTAGATAAATAAGGACTATTAGAAAAAAAATAAATTTTAGTCATAATCTATTATTTTTTATTTAACATTGGTGGCGAAAGGGGTGACGAAAGGACCTCCTAATAAAAAAAAGCTTATACCTCAGTATAGGTACTGATAATATTTTTAACACTGGATCTAATAATAAAAAAAAATATAATAATTACAGCTTGATGAATTCACTCATTAGAATACTCATTTTTACCAATTGTATTATAAATAAGAACTTTTAAGAAGAAAATTCATAAAAATATATATTCAGTAAATATTAAATAGCAAAATTTGCAATGTATAAGTTATAATTCACACATACCTTCTCCGAAATCTCCCATGGTTCAAATTAAACTAAACTAAAAAGAAAGGCACTATCCAAAATACTTAATCGGTAATTAGGTATTATGCAAATTTTCTTGGTCCCTTTGTTACTCGATATCAACTTTTAGTGTCTAGATTACCATTTCTTAAAGCTAATGGATACAAACTGCAGTAAACTAGCAATTTACTGTTTGTTGACATTTTTACAACAAACTTTTGTTTGATCAATAAGATAAGTCCGTGGCTTGCTTTGGTCGGTACCTTTTTTCTAATTAGGACAGTGGATAGGACATATAACTTTAACCTATTTTTAAAATACTAATATTTATTTAATTTTAAACTAACGTGTTTTTTAGAAATACCTTTATTTCTGGAAAACAAAATTTTGCATTTCATTTTTCAAAGAAAGGAAATAATTCCAACTCAAATGTTACCAAGACGTAAAAAAAAATAAAAATTTGAGTGGGGAAAATTAGCAGAGATAGAAAATCTCTGCTGTTTTGCTTTCCTGATAGTTATAAATCAATGCCTGTAGCGATATTAGCAATAGGAGTAGTTTTTGTTAAAATAAGTAATGCTTTGCTTGGAGCGACATCTGTCGGTTGGTGGTTGAATGAATTCGAGTGGAAGGAGATATATTGAGGGGTTCTGCATTTACTTTAAGTATAGTTATAAGTAGACTGTGTAAGATGGCGCAATGTTTAAGGTTGGTAGAAAGATAGATGTTTTACGACAACGATGGTAAGCCTGCTCTGTTCTTGTTCGTTACAAAAGGCCGTTATAATAGTTTTTAAGTTTAAGGCCAAGTTCAATTTTGTTTGACATATAATCACGATTTTTTTAGGTTAGAAAATTGCATTATCGATTTTTTTCATTCGAAGTAATAAAAGACGTCACTTTAAATTTCTATTTCTTTATGTCAACAAATTTGTAACACGATGAATTTATAAAACGTATGTCACTAATGAATATGTGGCGGCAACTGACGGCAACACTGTCAGCTACTCCATGGCTACTAGAGTACATACAGGTCCGGTATAAGCCATGGAAAATAATAATTTAATGTATTGATCGAGTTAAATAAAATATCAAAATTAAATGTTTATTTTTAAGTAAACGACATTTTTAAATGTATACGTCTTCAATCAAAAATAATATAGGCGAATACTCAAGTGTATTATACGAGTGTACTGGACAAGAGAAAATGTTACCCTTTACTCCAGTTTTTTGTAATGAAACCAGCGGTAAAATAGATATTTGTGTACCAAGGCTGTGTTTTGGCCGAATTAGACATATGCGTTCAAGTCTAAGCTAGTTCTGGTTAAGTATAAGAGTAATATAGGCACGAAACGGGAATTAAGTAATAAGGGATTTCGAAGTTATTTTTAGAAATATATTTATTTCAAAAATAGTGAAATCCGAGTTACAAATAATAAAAATGGCAATGTTAAAACCTTGATTATCAAATTATAACTGGACAAAGAAAATAAAGAATACAATGAAAAATGAAATATCTACTCTACTCTACGAAAACACTGATAACGGATATAATATTACTTATTTCTAGTCTTTTCTACTAAAGCACTGATAACGAATATAATATTACTGATTATAATTATTATTTTATTTATAGAATAGAATGTCCATGTTCATAGCCGTCACGTTGGGGATCTTGACTTAACACCTCCCGCCGTTGTTTAGAAATTAGGGAGTAATTGATGGAATCCTAATTTCTAATCCGTAATTCTTCTATTTTTCTAATCCGTAATTCTTCTATTGGTATATTTCGCTCTTCAGGAATTGGTATATTGATATTATTTTTACGTCTTAAACATTTTTTCCATAATAAAAACATTGCTGCTGCTAATATTGGTAAATAAATATGGTCCAATAACTCAAGTGAAAAGATATTATTGGTTTTTCTTCTTGAAGGTTTATTTAACCATTGTTCATATTATCTCTAATTGAATTCATATCATCGAGATTTATTGACTCTAATTCAATTGGATCAATTTTAGTCGGATTTTTCTTTTCAGTGGATTCTATTTTAAAATTCAATTGTGGAATGTTTACTATTTTCGTTTGTATTTTGGAGTCTTCATGGATTTGAAGAATGGTGTTGTCAATTTTGATTTGGCATGTACTCGGAATTTTTAATATGTAGCTTCCTTGGATAACTTCTTTTTCTTCTATATTACATATCTTCGTTATGGTCGTCTCGTTTGGAGAAATAATAATCCACTGGTTGGCACTTATTTTTTGAATTTTCTGGTTTTTCATTTTTATTAATTTCGGATTGCAATTACTGTAATTTTGTGTAAACTGGATTAACTGAACTTCACATGGCATTTCTGGATGTAGAGAAGATACCTCTAGTAGTGGGCACATATACTCTTCAGGCGTGGTTTCTTGGCACTCCGAATTAGAAAGCATGTAATGATACTCATTAATAAAAAGGAATTTATTTTTTGGGATAATAAATTGGAAAAGATTTTGGTTGGTCAACATTGGAAAAGAATAAAGATGATAATACATATAAGGTGTAGATTCTATCAATGGAATTTCTAATATGAAAACAAATTTAGTAGCTTTTTGGTAGGCTTTGATTTTAGTAATTTTCTCGAAGAGAAGTATAGTACTTTTATTAACAGCATACGGAAGGGTGATTTTTCTGATATGTTTTTGGATATTTCTGAGTTCATTAAGGAAGTCTTCTGGCTGAATAATTGTTGGATGTAGTACAGACATCTTAGCAAATGTAATAGAGGTTTCTAGTTCTTCTATGACTCTCAGCATGGAATTTGAGACTGTAATCATTTGAATATAAATTGTATAGAAATTCAACATAGTATATGTATCTGCTTCCTGTATTGCTCTATTATTGGCTGCGGCCTCTAATTGTATAATTTTTTCTTTCAATGTTGCTTGATTTGTCGTCAATTTACTGATTGTAGTATTAAATTTCTCAATAGCTGTTACTGTTAACGATATTTGTTTTTCTGCTAGGATCTTTTGCTTAGTTTGCTGAGCTTCTAATTTTTGTAAAGTTTCTTCATAACGCTGACCATCTTCTGCATCGAGATTTCCTGTTATTGCCTTGACTACGCCACCAAGAAAATGTACTAATCCCCGTCTTTTTCTATTAATAAAATAATTAGGAAATAGTTCGTTCAACTTTACTTTTATCTCTTGTAAAATATGTTCCAAAATATATTGATAATTAAGGGATTCTCTCGAATAACCAGATCCATGTGGAGTAATTTCTAATGAATTTTTTATGTGATTGAAGTTTTCTTTCATTTGTTGAAATTCTTGGATTATGATAGAAAAATCAAACGTTTTTAAAAAGGTCCATTTGTCGACTATATTTTTAACTGTCCCTAATTTTTGAGGTAAAAGGCCTGGATTTCCCTCAATTTTTCTTATGACTGGTTCATTAGTATCGGCTATTGCTGACGTGATGATCCAGCAGATTGATCTGGAAAAAGAGGATGTCTTAAGTTGTCTAAATGAATTATTTTGGATTGATTATTAGATGTTAATACAGCGCATGTATTATCTACATTTATTCTCAAAATTTTGTAAGGCCCTATATATTTCGCTTTTGCTTTATTTCTATCTGCTTCTGGATTTTTCTCAAAGACTTGATCTCCTACTTCAAACGTGGTTTGTTCTTTCTCTTTTTGGTTACGGGAAGTGATAATTCTCTCTTTGTCATTTTGAATTTTGTCTTTAATTCTATCATATGTTAGTTTTACTAACTTTCTGTGGTCATTGACATATTGCTGGTAATATTCTTTTTCATAAAATATTTCGTAAGGATTCCTTGAAGCTGTGTGGCCGTATAATAACTCCAATGGTGTATATCCAGTCGCTGAGTGTATTGAATTATTGTATCCTATTACAGCATAGGTCATCAGTCGTCGTGGGGTATCGGTTGAATGTTCTTTGATAATTCCGTAAAGTTCTGTCAAAGTACTATGAAATCGTTCAATTAATCCATTGGATTGTGGATGATGTGGTGTAGTAATGTGAACATTGATTTTATGCATTTCTAATAGGGTCTTAATTGTTTCATTCTCGAACTCTGTCCCAAGGTCAAAGGTTATTGACTGTGATACTCCAAAATGTTGAAAAAATAAAATTATTTTATCTGCTATTTCTATGGCATGTTTACTGGAAACGTGATAAGCTTGTGCCATTTTGGAAAATTCGTCTATGATAGTAAAAAATGAATTTCCTTCAATAGTGAAAAGATCAGCATGTAATTTTTCAAAAGGTTTACTTGCAGTTTCTGTAATTCTTAGAGGGATATTTGGTGAGTGTCTTTCATATTTATTAGTTTTGCACACGAGACATGAATTAATATAGTTTTCTATTGATTTTTTCATATTTGTCCAATAATATCGTTTGTTCAAATATTTATAGGTTTCGTTGATACCCCTGTGGTTAGTTTTTCCTTCATGATGATTTTTAATCAATTGGATTTGGTCATCTTTATTATCTATTGTAATCATTCGGTTCAAACATCTTACCAAATTTGGATGATCTCTAATGAATGTATCAGAAAATACTTTACAAAAGTCTTTATACATTTTATCTCTATCAAAATAGACAAAATACTTTTTTCTTGGTTCACAGTGTTGAATTAATAATGTCTTATTCTTATCTGATTATTGTTTGCTTGCCTTTCTTCTGCACCTTTGGTGGTAGAGGATCATTATAAACAGTTGTGATTATCAATTGTCTCTCTTTTTTATCAACTGCATCATCTAGAATTGGTATTAGATTTAAATTTTCTGTTTATTCAGTATTTCCCGTCATAACATCTGGAACTTCTAAAGGTATAGACTCGATTTCCATGGATTCAGGTGCTAATGTTGGTTGAATTTGTTGATTTCTGGAAAATGGTGGTTCTGAGGTATCAAGTTGGCTTTGAATTTGTTCCTCTTCAAAATGTATTAAATCGTCTAATAAAATATCGAGTTCTGGATCTCTTTCGACTTGAGTTGACATT